GTCTAAACCCCCCCCCCCCCCCCCCCCCCCCCCCCCCCTCCCCATAACTAAGGGATGTTCACACCTCGATATGAGCTTTAACGCAGGAAAACCCACGCACAACACTTGGAGTCCCGTTTTCATCCGTGCGAAGGAGAGTAACTCCATCAGAGGGAGAAAGCGGCGGGATCCCATCGGGGTGGGACAGAAAAGGATGGCTTTTTCTTGGATCGCAAGGATGCCGGCGGTTGGGTCTTTACCATCCCGTATCCATATCCGAATATTTCACTTATAGACTCGTACGCAAAGTGATTGAGATGGTCTTTACGGACGAAGTGGACAGGGTTGCGATCGATAGGAAAAAGTGGCGATAAACGTAAGGGCGTAGATCTCACTCCGGCGAGGAAGTCATTCTCCCTTCAACGGGATGAAAGGGGACTCCAAGGGTTGTACGTGGGGACACGTAAAGAATGGGAAAGAGGGGCTGCTACCTATAGCGATGAGAGAGCCTCTGAGTTTTAGGGCCGCCGAATGAATTCGGGATTTCTTGCCGAAGAGTTCGTGGGAGTCTTCCACAGGTCGGCTAGTTATTCTTATTACGAGACACGCTCTTAGTTTTTACTATCTTATTAACAGCTATCGTGGCAAGCAGCCCATCAATTTCTATGTCCGTTCTTTCCGAACACTTCCTTCTTGGAAAAGGATTGCACAGACCTCGTCTAAGGTACAATGACAATTATTTTGATTATGATTCTTACGTCTATTCGAAAGAATTCACGATAGCACGGCGCAAAATTCAGCATTACCGCAGTTATGTCCTGGGCATACGGTCCAGCGTATTTTTCTCAGTAGCATTGCAGGATCGTGGATGCCACCGAATCTTTAGCTGTGGGCTAAATAAAATATTCCCGGCTTGAAGAGGACGTCTGAAACACCGCAGAAGTTCATGTTGCTAAATGAGCTTAAATGAAGAACTCGAAGAGAACCATAGGTTGCCGAGTAGAGTTCCAATCCTGAAGCAGCAATGTTATTTCAGCCGTGGACGAAAAAGCCAACAATCCACGGCATTCGCCAAAATTTGGTCGAAATTGACTAGGCGACGCAGGGCGCTCCTTAATGACCAAATTCTAGTCACAGGGGAAACTGGAGTGGTTCCCTAGCATATTGCATCGAAGACTCTCATGAGCATCCATGCCGCTATTTTCTCTTTTTTTTTTCAAGTTTTACTTCTCGTCTGCCATTTTGGCAACACGCGCCAGTGTTGTCAGTGTTTTCGAGCTGGCACCAACGATCTCGATCGCATCCACGAACCTGCAAAGATGCAGTAAAGGGAAATTGTGAAGGTATTTCTGAATCGCTCTGCATTACGATTTTCAAGCAGAATGACCGAAAGGCATTTTTCTTTGCAGCAACCCTGCGTCCAGCGTGACGGTCTCCTTCGGAAGTGCAGATAAAACGACCGGACAGACGACGACTTCAACTACTATCAAATACGATACGGCTTTCAACACAAGTAAGAAAAACTTCTCTCTCGTCACTTCGCTTCATCCGTTTCACGAAGAGCATGAAGAGAACTGGCCCATTAAATCCAATAACTGCAATGCGATATAAAAAGTCTCCTCGTTCCTCACCGCAGAAAACCTCGAAAACGGGCACGACATCGCTCTCGTGCGCTTACCGACTCCTCTGGTCTTCTCCCCGAGCATCCAGCCCATCTGCTTCCCCACCACCGACGCCGTCCTGGGCACGACCATCTCCGCCTGCGACCAGAAGGCCTACGGCTGGGGGTTCATCGACTCTGCAGGCACGATACGAACGAACTTCTTGCAAAAGCTGGACGTGACGGTGTCGTCCAAAGTCATTCCTTGCTCCAGGCGCACGGATGAGACGATCATTTGCGTCAAGGGAGATCGCTCAAAAAGCGGAATCTGCAATGTACATTCTCATTTCCTCCTTCATAACTTCCTTTCCCGAATCGCCTTTGATAGATCCGAGTAACAGGATTGCTACAGATTAAGTTCTACGTTAATAACTCCAGTCTCTAAGAAGCAGTCAGTCGTGATCGTCTAGTTGCGCTTTCACTTTCTTTTACGAAGCGGATGCCACCGGAGATATCTCAACCGTATTCTATTTATAGAAGCTCTCATAGAGGCAAGCGGGACTTACGGGAACATTCGATTTCTCTAGTCCATTATTCTTTGGCATCTCTTGTGCTTCGTTTATGAGTTAGATTAAACGCGCTCGTGGATGAGGGAGAAACAGAGATTAAACATCTGCTAATGTAAAATAATTAATTCACTTGGAAATATTTTTCATCGATATGGACGAGATCGTTATGCTTATATGCCCAATATCAACAGTTGTCGAACCTTCTCTTTCCTTCGTTTGTGAACGGATTATAGGGAGACAGTGGTGGACCCCTGGCAGTGAGATATAATGACCGAGCCTACGTCACCGGGATCGCCTCGTTTGTCATAAAGAACTGCGCCTCTGGCATCGCTGGCTACACCAGGACCTCCAAATATGCCACTTGGATTCAACAACAGATCTCCGGCTGAGAGCGCTGCTTTCCTCTCGCCAGGCTAAGGGAGGACACCCGGAAAAACACCCCCGCACGCATGCGCACACGTGGGCGCGCACATGTATTGATATCCTTGCACCGACTCTTCCGATCACACCCGCACATTTGGATCCATTCGGCTCCCATTGGGCAAGTCGTTGGGCATCTCCTCCTGTCGTCATAGCATCCGTCGCCGAGTGCCATAAGACACTGTCTATGGGAAAATTAAAAAAGTTCTGGCACCCTTTGGATTTCCTGGGATCTTTGATAATAGCAATAAAAAACTTTTGTTTCGGAAATCATTTTTTTGTCAGCGGCGATATTGCCGACGCGAGTTCAACTTTTCTCACGATGGGGATGAAAGTAAGAGATAAACCTTGCATCTTTCACAGCACAGGTTGTTGCTAATTCCACACGCATTTCGTTTCCTTTTTGGGTAGATTGTGAAGGTATAGTAAAAAAAAAAAAACTTGCTTTCAGTGGTTTGTGAAACATCAATTACTGCTTTGGCAAAAAGAAAATTGTGGGACACCAGGTAAGCACAAAAGCACACTCTCGCCAAATTTTGTCCAGGTTGGCAACACCGCAGGAATGAAACAATGCAATAGGAGGCCGACATCACGCAGCTGCGCGTACGATGCGATCCACCCGCACGATCGAGCACCGAACGCGTTGTCGCGAGGGCGTGCAAAGCGTCTGCGTCGTGGAAGACTCCCTTCGCACGTGACAACAATATGCAATCCGCCATTGCGTTCGGCGTGGTTCGAGTGCATCGGCAACGCTTCCAGAAATGACGGAAGCACGCGTAGACGAACGTCTTGGACGAACAACGGTGTTCGAGCGGCATAAACGGTTCACGGAAGGGAGCGGTTCTGTCGCTGACGACCCACTTCCTGGACAGTCCTCAACATCTACATCACCGGATGAGGTCACTCTGTCCCAGGACTTCGCGAAAATCGGCGCATCGCCGTACGGGAACTGGCACAAGTACTAACAATCTCAGTAGGTAGTACCGATCCCAAGCAGCATGTTCACGTAAACAAGATATCACTTTTTTGCAAACAATGTAAATTTCTTGCGATTGCCATGAAAATGACATATCTGTGATATGTAAACGGTGATATAAAATTAACGTAAATTTTACTTGACATTCCCGTTTGCATTCCAAACATCATGTTTACATTCATTTTACGTAAAATAAACATAAACATGCTGTTTAGGATTCCATCCTCGCCTCGTATCGGATCACCTCGAACACCCAGCTGCGCAATGTTGGTCTCCTGTTGCATCATCCTTTTCTGCAGGGTTGCCAATTTAGTCATTTTGGCCGATTACCAGTATCAGTTCGAGAAATTAACGAACGATCATTTTATTGAGAGGCTAAAGAATATGGAAGGTTTATTTCGGGACCCACTCGATACTTCACTGCGCAGGCATGAATCTGGAAATTCACTTTAAAATGTCCATCAAGATATGAAATAGGACTCTAGCAATTGGGAAAAACTGTAGTATGAGGTCTTTAGAGACTAGCGTCGAGGTACCGACCGCGCTCGTTCTTTTTCGGTTCTCCGAAAAAATTGAAGAGCGTCGCATGTGCAGGACGCAGGACGTTTTCACTTATAATCGAGCAAGTAGGCACATGTGCCTTCCCTCCTATCCTCATCTTCATCACTTTTTTGCCCCGCTCTCTGGTCGTTTCCTCATCATAATTTCTCCTTGCATGCCTCCACCCCCGGAAGTGGGGATGGAGGAGCAAAGTGATGCAGGGATTGGAGGGAGGGGGGGGGGGGGCAAGGGGGTGTTCAGACCCCCTGAGGCTCTTCCTCCCCCCCCCCCCTTCCCCCTGGGTTGCGCCACTGAGGTTGATGACTGCGCAAATGCAATGAGTCGAGAACAAAAGTATTCTGGTTGCTATGGCGATTGCAGACAGACAAAGTGAAAAATTAAATAAAAACTTTAAAATGATAGTAAAGAAAAGTGGCGAAACGATTGCAATATTTCCAATTTCCCCTTACATAATAGTGGAAATGACAGGTAATCCATTGAACAACAAAAAGGCCGGTCTCTGAAGGAAGACCAGGATTCTCTGGACTTCAAATGGGAGGGCTGAGAAAATGTTCTCTGCGAATTCCCTTCAAGTGAAAGATGTGCATTTGCTGTAGGTAGAGGAAATGGACGCGAATCGTGGGAAAAGACGCAGGCAGGCATCGGTCGGGGTCGTGGAAGGGCGAAACGCGATGTGACAAGCGGAATCTTTTCTTTTTTTGTTTCAGAAATCACGTTCTCGTCTTTTTCCATCGGATTTTTCCTCCTCGTTTTCCTCCCGAGTCTGTCCTCGGTCTCCGCGTCGAGACGATCGCCCTTCGCAATCAAATAGTGCCTCTTGCTTCTGAATAACACACACTTCGTTCGTCCAGACTCTCCAGTGTCCCTACACATCACCATGGGCGGAGTCTTGGCGTGCAGCATCTCTGCTCTGGCCCTCCTCTCTCCCCTTCTTTGCGTGGAGGGCGGCACCCCCAGTTGCCCTGCCACTGCTCCCCCCACTTTGTCTCGTACGTTGGCTTCCTTCTCTCTTTCTCCCCATTAAATTGCTCTATATCAGACCGTGCGATATTTCAAGCTCTCATTGGATTTCTGTGCGAGTTGAATTCGCATTCGAAAACGGGAGCAGTGAGGAAAACTCATTCCAACCAGGCCGCTCGTCGAACCGTCTCTGCGTGAGCAGATCCGTACACTGAAGACATGCCGGCGGATCGATGCAGGCGGTTAGATAGAGCAGTGTTTCCCAAACGGTGTGCCGCGGCACACTGGTGGGTCGCCAGTAAGGCTTAAGTGTGTCGTGAGATTTCAGAGTTGACAACAAAAAAAACTACAAAACTAAAACTAAAAAAAAAAATTTTAAACAAGAGGGAACGCCATCTTTCAGTAGAAAACGAGCTGAGAGTAGCACTGTCACGCCTCGTATCAAACTGATGTGTTCAGCGAAGCGAGCACAAGTTTCCCATTGAAAGTATGTAAATGGCTATGTGTGCCGTGGAAAGTTCAAGTGTCCTTATGTGTGCCGCAAATGAAAAAAGATTGGGAAACACTGAGATAGAGAATCACGTCTTTTTAGTCCGATATGTTTTGAAGCTGCCCAGTTCAGCATAGGTGCGGGAGTGTGCTTGGAAGTGGTGTCGACGGGGGGAATAATTGAGAAACGTGCAAGCAGCTTTGTCAAGTGGAGGCTCTGACGTGCGAGTTTAATTTAGGCGGGCAGAAAATCAACAGAATTTCCTTCTGGATCCGCAAGCGAGGTTATGAAGGGGATTAGTCCCGCTCACATAGTGGAATGGCTCGCTAACGTTATCACGTGTGCGGGATCCTGTGGCACCGAACTTCAGTTATCGTATTGCTTTTTCTGCTGAAAATTGGATTAATTGGGCTGGAATGAAACCTATTCTCCTTCACTTGCATTGACTTGCAATCTAAGGTAGTGAGATTCTAACGATTGTCTGTCAGCGTCTTGCTGCATAAGCAAAGTGCTTTCTCCTTGCTGCCCAGAGACTTACTCTGAGCATAAAACTTTATAAACAACTGCAAAGAAAAGCATGCATGAGAACAACAAGAGAGAGAGAGAAAGACATCGGTCGCAGAAAAATGTTACCTTTCAGACGTCAGTAAATCTACGCCGTTCGGTTAGACCGAAATTTTCAATAGGCTGCCGGTCTTAAACACCCTACCCCCGTCCCCCAAGACAATATTTGATAGGAAGATGACCCGCAAACCTCCATGTTCAGTGACGACCGCGACATGTGGACAGTCGAGCGCAGTCTCGACGCAGCGAGCGTGGCTTTACCGGGCGTGGTACGGCTTCCTGGGGATCGCCATGTCGGGCATGGGCCTTGTCAGACAGGACGAAGGGAGCCTCATCATCAACGGGTCTCCGGCCACCATCGCGGAAGCCCCCTTCATGGCCTACATCGAAGCGTCTTTCCCTGACGGCAGCGATGTAACGTGCAGCGGCTCCATCATCAGTGAGCAGTGGGTCCTCACTGCCACGCACTGCGTCCTCGATGAAAACTAGTCAGTCCATGCAGGTTGTCTCCTTCTGTCTCGTATGTTCCTTCTCGGAGCCTTTCTTTTTTTATGATTTTCTACTCAGAGGAGAGGGAAGGGGAAAACGTCAAGAGCAGAAAAAAAACCTTTTGCCCTTTTTTGGACTGTAACAGCAAGTTAAGAGTGGTTACAGTTCTTTCATCAACAGTATACACTGCACGTATATCTGTCGCAAGCGAAAACGCTCTCAGTTTCCCAATTGAGGCTAGCTGGATTCCGTCCCGCAGCAGTCAAAGGAGACGCACCGTTCGAATTCGAGACACCCAAATGTCTGAAATGAATAGGTCTGTCGTCAGAGATCACGAGTTCGGGGCTTAGAGTTTCCCCAGTTTGTGGATGAGTCACAGGGAAGCTTGGTCGGAAGTCGGGTTTCTGGCAAAGCATCTGGCAATCGGGCCGATAGAGTCGGATTCGGGAAAATGTTTTTTGTGTGGGCGGGAGGACTTGCCGGGTGACTGAATGTCGCACTAAAATCGCGTGTTACCGTTGTTGCTGCTTATTAGCAACCTTTTGGCTCCCGAAAAGGAGTTGATATTTTCCGTAAATTGCCTCTATCAAGATCGCTGCGCGGCATCTACCGTATTATGTTCAGATGTACACGTAAGGGCCAAATGAAGGGGGGGGGGGGGATGGATGAAAGGAAGAAATCGCCGAGATGACTCGTCTTCAGTCGCCGTCGACATCAGCCAAGTATTCTCGATATTAGAAGAGTCCAGCAGTACTTTATTTGATGGAGTCGACTCCAAAGATATTCCGCCTTGAGTATTTATGTTCTGGTAGTTACGGGCATTTCATTAATTCCCATTCTATACCCATATTTCTGCATCTACAAAAAGGCACTCAATATGACTGAGTCTCTCAGCACCTCATTTATATAGAAATCAATTCAATGGATTTTGCTCTCGGTCATCTATTGGTTTAGTCGCCTGAAAAACATAATATCTCGTACTTCTAAATCTTCTTACGTTCTTGTCAGTAACAGCGATCAGTTACAAGGAGGGGACATTATGAATTTGTACCGTTGTAACTGTAGATAGCATTTATTTTAGTGCAGAATTTGGGACGATAGTACAGGGTGGGCCACTTAAAAGTAGCCTGCCTCCTATGCAGTATTATAGGAGGCGGGCTACTTTTAAGTGGCCCACCCTGTATTATTCGGTACCATCTCAGATATATTCTTCTTCGGCTTGACTCT